ACAAGTCATTGGTCTTTCAAAATTCTATCATGTGATCTCCAGCATTATTTCTATCACCAAGGTCATATTTTCCAACAACTGATCCTTCCTCTTTATTTCCAACCTTTTAATTCCAATCACCTTGGAATACATCATGATTGCACATTTATCAATTTCACACTAAAAAAGTTGACATAATTTTCCAATGTCATCATTATTAGCTTTAGTGGTTGGTGTGTAAATTTTAATAAAAATGATATTGACTAGCATTCCTCGTAGGTCTATCAATATTATCATATCACAGACAGAGTTGTACTTGAAATGTCTTCAGAACTTGAAATGGCCTGTTATTGATGAATGTGAGGCCATACTTCTTCAATTTTTTTGTTCCAGGCAGAGTAAACCATATGGTTTTCAGATAAAATGACCAATATCAGTCCATTTCAGCTCACTAGTGCCTAGGATATCAATGGTTATACATTCCATTTCATTTTTGACAACTTCTGGTTTTCCTGGATTCATACTTCGTACATTCCATGTTCTGATTATTAATGAATGTTTACAGCTGTTTCTCCACATTCTGAGTTGTGCCCCATCAGCAAATGAAGGTCCTGAAAGCTTTATTCCGTTCATGTCATCTTGATCAACTCTATTTTGAAGAGGCAGCTCTTCCCTATTCGTATTTTGAGTGCTTTCCAAGCTGAGGGGCTCATTTCCCAGCATTATATCTGACAATATTTTTGTGCTCTTCATTATTTTTCAATACTCAGTATTCTGGTGCTGACAGTGTTCCATTGCTACTCATACCAGGTTTTCAGGGACTAAATATCTGGAAATAATCCACCTCTCCTTCTTCCTATTCTTAGTCTGGAAGTTCAGCTTCCATGGGTGACCCTGCTGGTATTTAAAATACCAGTAGCATAGCTCCAGAACCACAACAGCAGACAAGCCATCACAGTTCCTCAAACTGACAGATGAGTGGTGTAGCTTTGGGGTGACCATTTGTAATTTGGTTCTCCAGCAAACACTTGCCCATTTCTGGGAGCTGTACTCAAAATGTCCAAGGATATAACACCTGATTTACTTTCAGGTTATATAGCTTGGCTGGGTTTGGATCCTACTAACACAAAAAAAGTTCTCATAGTAGGCCAGGAACTGCTGTCCTCAGAAAGACCTCTTTGCAAGGTTGACCCTTGGCTGTCATCTGAGTACTTACATTTCAGGAAGGTTCTCACCATTCCCTGACTGGTAAAAGTAGCTCATTGTGCCAAACTTTTTAAGATGCGGCTGTGAAGCTGCAGTTTTTGCTATCTTGTATAAGCAAAGGACTAGCAGGGATCAGGAGAACATCCATGGAGAATGAAGATGAAGCAGGGAGATATAGCTAAGAACTGGGCTCAATAACAGTTACGATTTGATCAAATCTCTTTTGAAACCATTATTTTCTTCCTCAATTTTTTCATTAATGTAGAAACATTTTATTAAGCCAATTTTAACTGATATTCTTATTTACAATTATTGAAAAAATTCTAACCAATTCAACCTTAGATCATGCTAAAGAATCTGACAGCAGTGTGTGATCAAGCAGAGACCATCACAGGTTTCTAAGTTGGACATCACATGTTCAGACTTGTGTTTTAGTATAGTCCTTCTGGTGGCCACAAGGACTTGGGTGATAAAGAGTATGTGGTCAGAGACTGGACACCAGTTCGAAGCTATAAGCTATAAAGTTGAGGACACAAACTGTGGTAACTGTTTCAGGGTGTAAAAATTGCTGAATGTTTAGGAAATAAAAGTGACAAGAGTTGGTGAAGGAGTGAATGCAGAGGGTGAGAAAGAGAGAAATCAATGATAACTCCAATTTCTTAGTTTGACTCAGCAAACAGTGATGTGTTTAATTTTTGACTAAGACAAACCAGGAATAGATGCAGATTTAATGGCAGAGAGGAGGAGCATATGCTTATTTTGGACATACAAACTTACAGTATCTGTATGACAATAATCAAGTAATGATTTAGAATTGTATAACTATAGAATTATAGAGAAGTCAAAGCTGGAGGGAGATACATATTCAGAGTTATCAGCACCCAAGTGATGGCTAAATAGATAACAGTAGATGACAGATGAGATCCTCTGGAAGAAAACCTATACCAAAAAAGAGAGGCTGAAATCCACATAAACACTTGCTAAAATACAGGTAGACAAAGGAGATCACAAAAGATTCAAGTAGAATCAGAGAGGTTAACTGGTAGGTCCATAGCCTCAGAAACCCTATGCAGGGTTGCTATGTGTCGGAACCAACTCCACAGTGCTTAACAACAATATTTCTCATAGGAGGATAAGAGAATTAGGAAGGAAGGTACACTCAGCAATGTTAAGTATTACAGTAAGATTAAAGAGCAAGAGGACTAATAAGAAGTTACTAAATTTGGGTTTGTTGTTGTTGTTAAGTGCTGTCGAGTCAATTCCAACCCGTAGCCACCCTGTATAGGGTTTCCAAGGAGCAGATGGTGAGCTTGAACCACTCACCTTTAAGTTCAAACGACTTTGCAGTCTGACGCATTAGCCCACAAAGCCACACCAGGGCTCCCTAAATCTGGGTAGTAGTGGTTTTTGTTTTTTTTTAATACTGAAAGAGATGGATTAGTAAGATAGTGAAAACATAACTTTGTCACTATGTTTTATACATCTAAGGTATACACATTGAGCACTTTCATCAATCTATGGTGGCAATTGATTTAATAAGCTATTTCTATTTGGAATGACTCTAAGTTTCCCAAACCTTAACAGAAACAGTAGCTATTTAGACTAATAAAAGACAAATATTAAAAGATTGCTATTGATTCTTTTTTAATTGGTAGAAACAATGAATCACTGTAAGTTAAATTCACTTAGAAAGTTCATGAGCCCAAGGTATAACTGTCAAATATGTGATTTTCTTCTATGCCTTCTCTTTAACCTGCTCATTCATTAAATCAACAATAATTTATTGAGGTCCTCTACTACCTTGCCTAAGGACTCTGGTAGTGTAATGGTTACGAATTGGGCTGCGAACCTTAAGGTAAGCGGTTCGAAACTACCAGCTGCTCAGCAGGAGAAAGATGAGGCTTTCTACTCCCGTAAAGATTTACACCCTCGGAAACCCTGTACAGGATCGCTATGGGTCGGAACCGACTCGACGGCACTTAACAACAACAACAACTACCTTGCCTAAAGCCAAGTATGAATGCTGTAGTGAGTTCTAGAAAAGCCCCATTCAGGACTGAAGAACACATCCCTCAACTGCTGGGAGAGTTATTAACTGACTAGGCTATAAACCCACTCAGGAATTGCCTCTGCTGCTTCACCCAAAGTCATGGCCTTTTTGGAGGACAGTCTATATCCAATGACTAGTTTATAGAAGAAAAATGTGAAGGTCATCCCAGCTTCTGAGTTTCCCAAAGGTTCAGCTGAGACTCTGTGGTAACTGCATTACAACCCTACTCTGTCCACCCCTGATTCTGTCACTTCCTCCCACAAGCATAAATTTCAATGGAAGCTCCTACTAAACTTCCTATACATGAAACACCACCTCAAAATCAGCTTCCTGGAGAACTCACTCTCCAATATCCACCTATACAACTTCTTCTCTTTTATGCAACATGATTGAAATGTCCTGTTTGATGATGAATGTAACACCATTCCTATTGAATTTGTCATTCCTGGCACAAGTAAACCATGTGGTTGACAGACTAAAAATAACCAATATCAATCCATTTTAGCTCACTAATGCCTAAGTTATCGATGTTTATGCATTTCATTTCATTTTTGACAACTTTCAATTTTCCTAGATTCTTCATACATTCCATGTTCTGATTACTAATGGATGTTTGCAGCTGTATCTCCTCATTTTGAGTTGTGCCCCACCAGCAAATAAACACCCCAAAACCTTTAATCTATTCAGGTCATCACAGTCAACTCTTCTCCAGTTGTATCTTGAGTGCCTTCCAACCTAAGGTGCTCGTCTTCAGGCACTGTGTCTAACAATGTTCTGCTTCTGTTTTCAGTGACTTAAACATTCAGAAGTAGTCTGCCTCGCCCTCCTAGTCTGCCTTAGTCAGAAAGCTCCTCTGAAATCTGCCCACCATGGGTGTTCCTGCTGTTATTTACAATACTGGTGGCATAGCTTCCAGCATTACAGCAACATGCAAGCCACCCCAGTATGACATACTGACAGACAATAGTGATACAACAGTATTTGCTAACGACTACCTTTATGGTAGTGTAGGGGTTACGTGTCAGGCTGCTAACCTCAAGGTAAGCAGTTCAAAAGTACCAGCTGTTTCACAGGAGAAAGCTGAGGCTTTCTGCTCCCTTAAAGATTTATAGCCTCGGAAACCCTATGCAGGGTAGCTATGAGTCATAACTGACTCCATAGCACACTACCACCACCTTTATGACTTACTACAACTGTTTAAGTAATAAAACTTGATATTTGGCATATTTACAAACATTTTATGAAAGTAAAGAACTTTTAGCAAAGGGGAAGAGAAAATACAATAGATTAAAATCTTTGGGAGCACAAAGATCTTTCTTTTGCCTTAAAGTAGAAATTTATCTATTATAGCAAAATGTGAACAAGGATAGCATATTTGAAAATTCACATTAATTATGAATTATGAATAAATTAGAGAATGGATAATTATAACAAAGAAATCAAGTGCAAAAGGTATCAAAATGGCTTTTACTCATTTAATTCTCATTTCAACTCATATATTCTGAGACTGAACCTGGTTAGAATCTTTTTATTATGAAGATATAGATCTAAGAACAGAAGTATAATTACATACTAGCTTACAGTTCCTGTAAAAATAATGATACATGTAAAATTAGTAGAATATGAAAACCCAAAGTTATCTGAAATCTGAAAATGTTAAGCAACTTCCCCAGTATCTTAGTTCTAATCATTTTTGTTGAATAATCAAGCATATTTTGGTGAAGAGTCTAATTTTCCTATTTTAATTAATAATCTAATGTGACCTTCAAAGCTTGGCATAGTCTTTAAAAATCATCTGAAGCTTCTGGCTCAGCATGATGTTCCCTTTTGCCTTCAGTCGGCCACTGAAGAATGCCTGGAAGAGAGATGGAGAAAGATTGCCAAATGTTATCATGTTATATTGTATTTCTTTTCTGTTTAAGCCCATGATTCAAACTGAATACAACTGAATTAATAACTCCTGACAACAAAGGCAGCTTTATCTAGCAATAGTAGTTTGATTTCTGATAGTGTCCATATTTTTAGATATTTAAGAAAAGGAAAGAAAGATGCACTTAAGAAATCCATAAAATAAATTATGTGAACTGACAGGCCTGGGGATTCTACTTCAATCTAAGCTTTCGACTTGACTGTACATTCTCACACATGGTTATGAGAAACCAAATAAATAAAAGGCTTTACCGTATTCATAACTGAATAAAGAAATTTAATTCCTAACTTTAAGACTAAACATATTAAGTGTATCTTCATGAAATACGAAGCCTAGATTAATAAAATAAGGCAGTATAACACAGTGATGAATAGTTTATGGGCTGTAGCATCAGAAGGACTGGTTAAAATCTAAGCTCTGCTACTTACTAACAATGAACCTGAGCCTTTATAGCTGAGCTCCAGCATCCTAACCTATAAAAGGGGATGAAGCAGTACCTAGTTAACACAGTTTTGGTGTGTGTTACATAAAATAATGTCTAAAGTACTTAGTTTTATGCTTGACATGTGGTAAGAGTGCATGCCTTCAGTACTACCAAACAAAAAATTAGTGTGTTAAGACTTAAGAGTTTCTATCCTACATATGTCTGACTTATTACAGAAACCTATATTTTCTCTCAGTGTCAAATTCCTTACCAGTGAAATAAAGAGTAATCAGTAACAGTTTTTTATAGCCTACTGAGAACATAGCACATAGAATATGAAATAAAAATAAGTCCCTTGATTTTTAGCTAGATGGAAAAGTATTATTCATGTATTCATAACTGAATAATAATACTCAATCCAGAACTTTTAGAAGGTTAATTGAACATATTTATAATCAGCTCTATTAATATTTTCTGTCATCATTATGAAGTGGTACCTCAGAAATCATTACCCCCAGTTGACAGATAAGAAACCGAAGTTCAGAGAGCTTAGACAATCTTCTCAGGGCCACAGCAAGAGGGCGGGGTCAGAGCTACAAGTCAGGTGTATTCTCTTTTCCAACACTGCCTCCTGTTCGCCAACTAGTAGTAACTTAATCTCAAAAGCAAATCCTCTTAGAATGGAGGAAAAATCATAAACAGACTACTACTTCATCTTTCTGAGAAATAAGGAGAATTCATCCAGTGAAGATCCAATGCTAGTTATAATATAAAATAGACACTGGAGGGGGAGAGAAAGGAATAGTCAGAAACATCACCATAGA